CTGCTCTCAAAATGCAACTCCAGACCCACAGCACCATGGGGCAGGGGGCTATCCCCATCCCTCAAGATCAGGAGAGGGGATGGGATCAGTGACCCTTCCCCAAACCCCTATGGTCACCCCCTCACATCCCAGTGCTTACTGGGAGGGCTGTAGGTGCTTGAGTTGGGCTGTAGTGGCACGATCCTGCCCAGGTTCCAGGGAACGCTCTGGGCAAAGACATAGGCATCCTCCTCAATGTACTTCACATGTGGCAGCTTCAACACCTGCGGGGAGGAGATACAGTGCCCAGCGTGGTGGTAAAGCTCCTGTTCACCCTGAGGTGGGAACTGCTTCCCCCCACCAGTGCCTACCCCTGCTGCTGCCCTGCGCCACGACCCTGTCCTCCATCCCACATACCATGTCCAGGACGTCGCTGCTCATCCTCACCAGGAAGGCAGGCAGGAGGTGGAAGACGTGCAGCAGCTCGGTCAGGTGTCCCCGCCGAGCCGCCCGGGCTCGCAGACGTCGCGCCGTGCCCCGCACCTCGGCCCCACTGCTGCCCTCCTGCAACACCACCACGTAGCGCCCGGGCAGCCTCCACGACGCCTGTGGGAACACAAGCACCGGGCTGGGGCTTGGGACACACACACACACACACACAGACGCGTGGTTGTCCCCCCATCCCACTCTCCTCACCTTGGCGGCGCGATGGAAAGCGACGGGTCCCGGTGGGGCGGCCCCGACGGCGGCTGCCCCCCCCTCTGCCGCCCCCAGCGTCAGCCCCAGCTCCTCCGCCAGCGCCAGCACCAGGGCCAGCACCAGTCCCCGTGGGGACATCCCGCGCCCCGCTGGGCAGAGCCGGGGGGCGCCGCGACCCTCAGAGCCGGGGGGACGGCGCCGGCGGGGAGATGCTGCGCGACCGCCGAGGGGCCGGAACGCACCCGCGGGGCCGAGGGGCCGGAGCGGGGCTGAGGGGCTGGAGCGGGGCCGAGAGGTCGGAGCGCACCCGCGGAGCCGAGACCCGGGGCGCACCGGCGGAGCCGGCAGGTCCTGGAGCGCAGCGGCGGCCGCGGCTCTGCCCGTCGCGGCGAGGGCTCAGCTCGGCGGGGCGGCGATCACGCCACGGCCGGCGGCCCCAGCGGCCCACCCGGGCGCGTTAACCACTAACGGGGCCGCGGGAGGGGGCGCGGGACTCTGGGTCACGGCGCGGGGGCGCGGGGAGAGAGGTGGGGGGGACGCTGCTCACCCCGAGTCCCGGCGCATCGCTGGGGGCTCTGGCGAGCAAAGCGCAGCCGCTCAAGGACTAATTTCAGAAAGGGCTGAACGCTTTAATGTGCCTCCTACTGCTTCACTCCAGGGATAAATTCCCATGAAAGCCTCTAATCCTGTTTGGGCATTTTTTACAGACTCGTCACACATCTTAAATATCCTTTTTGCGGGATGCGGTTCGGTGCTTTCCCGTGGCTCTCCCGGCTGCTTCCCACCTCTGCCCTCCTGCAGCGCCAGGTTCCCACACTGCCCCATATCCCCGATGACCTTCGGCAAGTCCTGTCCCTGCTCCCAGCTTTTCAGGAAAATAGGGATATATTTATTTTTTATTGGTTATTTTTAAGCTTCTCGGAGCTTATATGTTTATATGAATGTACATGTTTTATATGGATGTGTATGTTTCATATGGATGTGTATGGTTTGTATGGACATGTATGTTTTATATGGATGTATATAGTTTATATGGATGAGTATGTTTTCTAAGGATGTGTACAGTTTATGATTTCTTAATGAGACCTCAAGTGGGTGCTCTCACCCTGGTTTGGGTAACTGGGGGAGACCAGACCCCACTTGTCACCCACTTTCCTCCACAGCAAGCTGACACTGGAAGAGTCAGTATCCAGGACACTGGTCGTGGGGACAAGTCTCACTCCTAATTTTTGGCTCAGCTTCATCAGTGCCGCTAAGTCCCACAATACACCACTGGTGCCTTAGGACACTTTCAGGGCAACTGAGAACTGGGGCACCCCATCTCGAGGGAGACAGTCTCCCTTTCCCTGCAGTTGCTCCCTTCTGTTTTGCCAGGGGACAAGCTGTGTCCCAGGGAAGGATGGAAGGAGCCCAAATAGTAGGAGGTGGCAAAGGCCCTCCAGCCCCACACACACCTGGACGTGCTGAGGAACCCAGAGAGAGCTCGGCATGAACATCCAGCACCAGAACTGGACTGAGAGTGTGAGAGATGCCCAGCTCTGGAGCTCTCTCCAGGAGTAGATATCTGCAGAAAGATTATTTATTTAATTGAAAAAATATTCAGAAATAGCCCAAAACTTGCACCTTGTAGAGAACAGGTCTGATTTGGTCCTGGCACCCTGGGGTGCTTCCAGTAGCGCTTCCTCCTGCTGCTGAGAGCAGCGGGATCACCGGCTGTGTCCGTGTACAGAGGGGGGCTCCTGTTGAGGGGGGAGGAAGGAGAGAGCAGAGGAGGAATCAGAGAGGACTCCAACAAGGGGGAAGGACCTGTAAATCCTTGTTGCACTCTATTCCCAGGGAGCCGCAGGGCGGTGCGGGCAGGGGGCTGGGCGATGCTGGGCCGGACTCTCTCCCATCCCATAGCATAAAAAAACCCGGCACTTCCCCGGAACTTGATAGTTCTCTGTCGTGGTGCCACAAATCAAAGAAGGCCCATTTTCTTTTTTTGCACCAGCCGGGAATCGAACCCGGGTCGCAAGAATGGGAATCTTGCATGATACCACTACACCACTGGTGCGCTGATGTCACTGTTCCCGCGGGCCCTCAAGTGCACGGGCACCACCCCACCCCACGTGGCTGCCCCTTCCTCTCCTTCATCGGCTCCCCGCCGCGGAGTCCCTGCGGGTGAGTGACACTCGTGGGCGGCGAGCGGGTGGTAATTCCTCCCCCCATCCCCAAAAGCCCTGCTGCTCGCTTAATGCCATGCAGGAATGTCCCGATTCCCACAATGTTTAACCTCGGCCGGCGCAGGATCCGAGTCCTTCGGCTCAAGGATGCTGCACCAGGGATGGGGGGACTCATACACCTGTGCAAAGGGTCCCGTGGGAGGGAGGGTCCAGGCCCCGTGTCAGCCCCCTCCCCTGCCCCATCGGAAGAAATGCTTTTGGAAAGTAAATTTCTTTCGCCAAAAGCAGTAGTGAGTGCCAGGACATGAGATAGGACACCTCTCCTCTGAGGAAAGGCTGAAAGGGCTGGGAATGTTCAGCCTGGAGAAGGCTCCAGGAACACCTTGGAGCCCTTTTCAGTAGAGGGGGTGCAGGAGAGCTGGACAGACACTTCTGACAAGGGCATATAGTGATAGGACAAGTGGGAATGGCTTCAAACTGAAAGAGGGCAGGTTTAGATTAGATATTAGGGAGAAATTCTTTACTGTGAAGGTGGTGAGGCACTGACACAGGTTTCCCAGAGAAACTGTGGCTGCCCCATCCCTGGAAACATTCAAGGCCAGGTTAGATGGGGCTTGGAGCAACCTGGTCTAGTGGAAGGTGTCCCTGCCCATGGCAGGGAGATTGGACCAGATGGTCTTTAAAGGTCTCTCCCAATCCAAACTGTTCCATGCTTTTAGAGGCAAAAGCTTTCAGGTCTCTACCAGATTCCCACACTCCGTAGGAGCCAGTGACACAGAGTGACATCCTGCCCCAGGCACCCTCTGAAACTCGGTGAGACACGGCCTCGTTCAAACAGTGTCCCTGCAGCTACCACACGCACACCCCACCAGGAAGGACAGGCAGGAGTATGTGTAACCAATTTGTTATTGCTTCCTCCCAGACAGCTGCTCTCACTCCTGTGGCAATGTTTGGCCAACACTGGAGCCTCCATTCCCCACCCTCCTGTTGCCTGTAAATACCTCGAGTGCGTAGGTGCTCCGTGCCCTTCTCCCTTGCTGCTTTGGTGATGCCAAGGTGAGTGAGGGGTGCAGTAACACCAGGAGGGGTGTCACAGGGGCCTGAAGCCCCAGGTAGAGGCTCTTCTTGCACACCCTGGACTGTACCAGCACAGAACTCCCTGGTCATCAGGGGAGCACAGGGAGCATCCTTCCAGGGCTTTCATGCTTCATCCTCCTTAGGTGATGGAGGACAGCTTTCCCTGTATTTTTGGGTTTGGGTGATTGGAACTAGATGATTTTTGAGCTCTCTTCCAACCCAAACCATTCTGTGATTCTACAAAATTTGCAGAAGAGCTGCTGTGTCAGCACACATGTGCTCCCACGCCTCCTGGGGCCATGCCATGCACAGGCAGCATCCAGCCCAGCTTTCCCAAAACAGGGTGAGGGACTCTCAGAATCCCCACACTGTTAGATCTGCTGGTGGTTAGATCCAAACCCACCTCCCTGGGGAGGCTCAGCCACACAGATCCCCATGGTCTCAAGCAAATAAAGGGCAGGCAGAGGTCACGACTCCCACCAGTGCTGCCATCTCTTCATGGTACAAGCAGTCTGGGGGAGTTGCTGTGTCACCTCTGTCATGGTGACAAACCAGGCTTAGATCCATCAACATGGTTTGAAACAAATACTTATTATTCAGAGAGAGTTTGGGGATGGTGGGTGCCAGTGTCCGAGCCCACCCACAGCCCTGTGGTTGTTGACACTGACCCAGTGCAGGTGCCCAAAGTCACCACCTCAAGTGCCATCACCAGGGTTTTGGCTGAGCTGAATCCTCTTCTTTCCACTCCCAATGGCACTGGAACCTGGTCCTCGTGCAGAAAATGAAGGACAGCACAGTCTGTCACCTCCATCACCCCTCTCCCAACCGAGAGACATGAAGGCTGCCTGCAGGAGGAGTCTCAGGATCTGATTTTAATTTCAGGGGAGTTGGATAAGTGGGAGAATGACTTTGAGGACATCTCTGCCTCATCAAGCCCACCTGGTGTGAGCACATCTTTACCCACCTAAACTTGATCCTGTTCCAAGCAGCAAAACTAATGCTTTTCCTTCCCAAGTACAGTATTTCTCCCAGATCCTGCCCAGCCCAGCTTCTCTGTGCCCATCCAAAGGGCTCCAGCGAGGGGGGTCTTGTCCTATATGCTCTGGAATTCAGGAGGCGGCAGTCCCCCATTTGAGTTTTGGGGGAATGAAAGCCTCCAGAAAGGCTAGGTGTGTCCAAGGGGTGCAGAAGCCTGGGGGACCTTCTGTGCTGCAGGCGCTGCACTTTTGGGGGCATCCCCTTTCCTCCAGGCCGTGATGTTTGCATCCCCTCCGTGAGATAAGTCCATGCCAAGTGGTCATTTTATCTGGGAAATCAGTTTTCAGGCTCAAAAAGGCAGTCACTCTCCTTGAGCAGAGCATCCGGCTCCTCTTGGAGCCCATAATAAAGGTCATCCTCCTCCCCAGTGCCTTTGTGGGGGGATCCGGAGTGCTGTCCCCGCACCGGGGAGCTGGTCGGGGTGCAGCCAGAGCGAGCAGTGGATGGCAGGGTCCGGCTCTGTGGCGTGGGGGTGCCGGGCATGGAGCCCTCCAGTGATGGCGTGTCCATCTCCTCCAGGAGGGATGCCAGCGGTGCATCCCCCGGCGCCGGACGAGGGGGGCTGTGGGGACAGGGAGGGCTGATGGGTGGTGTGGGAGTTACGCCAAACACAGCTGGGGCTTTCTTTGGAGCTGGTGGCTGCTGGAGCATTGCTCAGCCAGCATCCCAGCATCACCAGTCCGCTTGCTGGGTGGCTGGAGCACCCTGGGAGCACACTATCCCAGCCACCTCATGCATGCCTTTATAAGGACATCTGCCTGCCAGACTCCTTCTGCCCATGGGACAAAGTGGTGGCTGCCCTTGCCTTTACTGCATCCCAAGCGGAAAGCAGTGCACCCAATCCAGCTGCAGATGCATCCAAGTCCTACGCCCTGAGCCTGCATGGTTCACTCCATCACTTGCAAATCCCTTTGGGACTCCCAAACCAGTGCTTGGACATCATACATGGCGTCTGGTTTACTGGTCGAGTACTGGGCATCTCATTGCTACCAAAGTCTGACCAGAAACTTGGGGTTTATTCTGGTGAGGAATGTTATTTGTATTGATAAAATTAAAGGAAAATGCAAATTACAACCAAAGCCCATCCTGACTTCTTCCTGGGAAATAATTTGGTACAGAGACTCCCTGTGGGTTGAGACACCATCCAGGCTCCACAGAGGCTGGGGAGTCTGGGTACTCAGTGCTGTGTGAGCAGCAAAGACCCCTCTGCCTCCTTTCCCTCCCCTGGGAGGACCTGGTCTGATCCTTCCCATTTTCACCCTGCATCCCACCAGTGCGACCCTGACCCCAAAAGCATCACATACCAGTTGCCTGCCACTGTTTCCAGATGAGGTGCCAGGTCTTGTGGGGGGTGTCCAGCACCCCCGAGCTCCCGGTGGACCTCTGCTTTGGCCTGCACGGCTGATTGGGAGCAGCTGAGGGATCTGGGCTGTGCCGTGGGTGGGAGTGGAGCTGAGCCCACTGCCTGCCTCTGGATCTGCTCATAGGATGGCAGGCTCTTCTCATAGGTGTTGGTGGCCTCTTGGTCAGGGCAGGGAGCAACAAAGCTGTGGGCAAAGGAATAACAGGGTGCTGAGCAGGACCTGGACCCCATGGAGCTGGAATATCCTCAGGCACTTGCACAGAGGGCTCCATCAGTTGAGGGAGTGGCTTTAGAGGCTACCAAGGCCACATCACTCCCCACACCAGCAGCAGAGCCAGTGGGTCCTTGAAGGGGATACCCACAGCTACACAGCCAGATGCTTGGCATCCCCCAGCATCACTCAGGCTCCAGCCTTGGGATGGCTCAGACATCCCTTGCCTGCCCCGCCCTGGCTCCTGCTTGGCATTTTGTGCTGCAATCAGTGCAGTTGTCCCCAGTCTCAAACACTGCCCTCATCCCCAGGGCACACCTATAACTCTGTGTACAGATTTTGGGACCCACCCGATGTCCTTCTGTGGCAGCACCGTGGGTTTGTGGTCCAGGAACCGCTCAGCCTCAGGGTCCACAGGAATGAATGTTATCTGGGGGAAAAAGGAAGGAAGAGCCCAGGGGCTGTGCTGGGCACACTCGACCCTCAGTGGTAAAAGGGCCGGAGTGCCCTTTCAGCTGGGTTTAGGGTGTTTTCCCACCACATTTTGATGTCTTGATTGGAAATGGGCTTTTTTGGGCAAAATCAGTAAGGGATGAATGAATCCAGCACAACTCTTTTCCCCAGTGGAGTCACGCATGTCCCCAAGCCCAGAGCAGGTCCCAGGGCCCACAGGGGAGGTCAGTGGTCAGGGACAACACTGAGGGTGCCCTATCCTTGAGCCCCAAGCACAGCAGCAAAGCCACATCTCCCTCCTCGCTGAGGTTGAACTCGGCTTTGGGGGATAACTGGGATCAGCTTCACCCCAATCCCAGGAAACACAGCCAGTTTCAGAGGTCCCACCTGGTCCCAGGTCCTGAGGTCACCGTGCCACATTTTGGAGGGTAGCCAAGTTGTTGACAGGCAGCGCCCAGAGCAGTGCCACAGCCACCCTCTCCTTCTAAAAAACCCTTTTCTGCTAGACCCGTTTCCCAGGGCAGGGACACGTGGCTGCTCTCCCTGCTGGCAGTGCCCTTTGCCAAGGAGACTGGTAGGTGAGGGCTGGGCTCTGGGGGGCCAGGACCCTCCAACATCCTTGGCCTTGACAGTCCTTTCTTGGAAGTCCTGGGAGCTTGCCAAGCCTCAGGCCCCAATGAAGGGGCTAGTTTGGGAAGGGTTTGCATGGGAGAGACAAACACAAGTTTATTTCCTTGGGATTATTCCCTGCTGCCTGCTTGGAAGCAAAGCACCAGGCTCTGGGGTTTGAAGGGTGCAGGAGTACAGGGGGGCGAGGGACAAGGGGCTACATCCTGCAGGCATCAGCAGGCCATGAGCATCCCAAACCAACAATCCCTCCTCCAGATCACTCCAGCTGGCTTCCCCTGGTATCTGCTGCTACCTCACCCCATGGATGGGGAAGTTGAGACGCAGCCCAAGGCTGCACATCCACAGCAGCCGAAGCCCCCCAAACCCAGCTGAGCCCCCAGGCCCCCCAAAGTACTCAGCAGCAGGATGGATCCTACCTTTGGGTAGCACTGGCACATGCTCCAGGTGATGCCCACGGCTACGAGCAGCACACCCAGGACACAGAAGGTGATGTAGATGTGGGGCTTTTCCACACTCATGATGAAAATTCCCGTCATCACCAGGAAGAAACCCAAGATGATGAACCCGTAACGAAAGGTCTTCTCCTCTGCCATGGGCTCTGGGTGGGAGAGACAGGAAGGAGAGATGCCAGGGAGCCCGTTTACCTGCCACTGCTGCCCGCTGAGCACACCTGCAGGGTAAGGCAAGGAGTGGTTTCTCTTTCCGGAGGCTGCCAGGAGCTGAGGATCAGCTGCACGCTAACCTGGTCCTGCCCAGGGCTGAGCCAGCCAGTTTTTAATGGGTTTGTAATGAATGCAAACACTGACCCGCCATTCACACTCCAGTGAAGCCGCCCGGCACGTGTCCACGTAACCTTCCCTGCGGGCACCCCATGCCTGGGGAAGGGGCAGGGAGGGAGAGGGGGCCATGGCAGTGGAGACAGGAACCTGGAGAGTGGCTGATCCTGTTGGGATTTTCCCAGCCCTGGGCACTGAAGCTGGACTTGGCCATAAACTGGAGCTGGCAGAGGCCCAAATAAGGGGTATTTCAGGGTGCAGCACGTTCTCAAGGACTGCAGGGCTGCAACAGGGAAGGAGGGAGTGCTCCATGGTCTTTCTGGAGGCCCATGGGTTTGGAACATCCCTTGTCTTTCTCCGGCTGAGTGCTAAGGCTGCTTCATTGGGCAGCAGGTGGGCTACAAAGGGGGGACTAAAGCCAGGGAAGGATGGAGTGGGGTTGGTCCTCCCAGGGGCAGTGAGGACAGAATATCCCTGTGCCCTGTGTTTGCTTAAGTTGGAGCTGGAGCGTTAGAAGGTGTTCCCTTCCCAAAACATATCCAACAGCTAGACAGTGTTGGTGGCTTTAATTAGCCTTAATTTTATTCCCTTACTTTCCAGCACATGTGGGAGCACATACAAATAATTATATTATAAGCAATATGTTGTACGTGGCTATGGCTCCAAATCCACTCTGCAGGTCTGCAGGGAACCCAGGGCACCCCATTGTTTTGGTGGGATGGAGGAACCAGCAGTGGCCCCCACAGCCGCTGGCCTTTCCTCTGGGCAAGGCTGCAAACCCACCCATGGTGTGCAGGGAGGGGGCTGTGTGCTCAGGATGGCTCTTTATAGGATGCCGTCTGAAATGCCAAGTGCACTTGGATGCCCTGACCACACACATGAGCCACTGAGCATCTCTACACTACATGAAGTCAGGCGTGGGAAGTCAGTACATTGGGAAGCAAGGTGGAAGGGATGGAGGTAGGGCCAGAAGGGGCACTGCAAAGGCAGAGGAGCAAATGGGGCGGCACAGAGCTGGGTTTTCTCTGGCCAGATTCCTCATTCTCTGCTGCAGTTTTTATTATTGAGTGGGCAGCCTGAAAGGAGCTCCCAAGGGTGGGGCAGAGCAGGGAACACAAAGCATCTGCAACCAACAGCGGTTTTATTAAAAATATGAAGGCTTTCAAACATGCCAGTTACCCCCAACGCTTTGAATGCATCACCCACAGGACCCGCAATCCCAACAGCCCTGGACTGATAGCTCAGAAAGCCCGGCTGACCCTTTCCCCTCCTCACCCACCCTCCTCTCCTCCCCGCAAAGGAAGGGGCTCGGTTTAAAGCTGAGGGACTGGGCAGCCACCCACAGAGTCATGGCCCTTGCTGCCCCCAGCTCAGACCCCTCGGACATTGATGTTTTCATAGCTGGGGGGAGGCGTTGCCTGCGGCTCCTCAGGGTGCAGGGTCTCCAGCCAGGATGGGCTGGGGCGGAACAAGGCGCTGTCGGAGGAGCTGCGCCGGCGGCCACCCTGCCAGCTCTCATCCTCCTCCAGGTAGTGGTACAGGGGTGGCGTGAGATCCTCCTTCCTCCTCGGGGGCTGGACATAGGCCAGGGCACCATGGGCAGGTCTGCAGGTCAGGGCTTCTTCGTAGGTGGGGATGGCACTGGCATCCCAGTTGCTGCGAGGAAAGAAGAAACCCAGCAGCACACACCATCACCAGAGCATCCCAGCACCCAATAACTGGACCACCCCAGCACTTGCCAACTGGAGTATCCCTGTGCCCTGTCAACCAGAACCATCCCAGTGTCCCATCAACCAGAGCATCCCAGTGCCCATCAATTGCAGCATCGGAACACCCCTTCAACCCCATCTAAGCATGATGGACACATATGCTGGAGACAGCACATCGGCAGGTTTTGCATGCCCAGGATCAAGGGATGACCAAGGTGGGGAGCCATGCAGGAGGAAAGGCATTATCCATCAGACCTTGTGACAAGGTCCCATAGGCAGAAGAGCACCTCCATCACCTGCCTAATTGCAAATTCACCCCTTAGTCACAGAGGCTGCCAGTAGCCAAGGGAGCAGTTTGGCACAAACGTCTGGGCAAGGGGCAGCAATCCCGGTTCAATGCGGTCACACCACACTCTTGTGCCTGCCAGAGCCCTCCATGCACCAGCCAAGCCTGGTGTCACTTCCAGCAGTGCTTTGCTGAGCAAACACAGCTTGTGTACAGGGAAAACCTTTGGACAACCTTTGCCCTGTGCAGGGTCCTGCTTGGCACCCTATGGAACTGTGCAGCCCAAAGCTGGGGAGGCTATGAAAGCAACTCATCGTTGCAGATGAAATACAGCACAGTGCACTGGGGAGGTGGTGGGCATCGCAGAGCACAGCTGGTCCAAAGGAAAAGCTGCAGTGTTCTACAGGGGTGCCTCCATCCTGAACTCTTGGCAGCTTCCTGTCCCAGACAGACCACCTTGGGCTTCTGTGCTCACAATTTTGCCAAACAGCCTCAGTTTGCATGGGGATGTTGTCTTGGAAATGCAGAGAGAAGGATTTATCCCAGCATAGCATGCTTTGCTGGGGCTGGAGGAGCTGTCACAGCACCAACAGTGCCAGGGCACTGTGTCCCATCCAGCATGGAAGTCGGAAGCTCAGGGAAAGGGACATTCCCCATGGGGGCACAGCAAAGCTCTCCACGGGAGGTGAAACCTCTCCCCAGAGTACCCAGACTGGATCACAATCTCACAGATACTCAGATGGGCACTGAAACCCCGAGAGAACCAGGAACGTGCCTCCCACTCCAACTGAAATTTTATGGTTTAATGTTCTTAAGAGTTTCTCTTAGTGCTGCTTTTCCCTAGAGCCTGATTTATGCTGGAGCCAAGATCTTTGCTGTGACCCCATAAAACAGCACTGGGAAGGGCCGGCTGGCTCCATTTCTACTGCAGTCTCTGGGGAAAAAAAACCAAAAACTTTTGAGCAAAAAACTTTTAAATCAAGAAGTGATCTTCACACTGGAAGAGTCTGGGGCCCAAAAGGTAACAGTGGTGTTCAGGGTGAGGGGTCTTTCTACACCCCAAAATAGGCTTCATAGAAGGACTCTCTAACAACACTCTTGATGCCATTCCAAGGGTTATTTTCTTTATTTTTTTTTCTTTTAAGTCTCTTTTAACACAGATTTGGCTTCCCTTAAAGATGGCATAAACACCCTCATCTTTATACAGCATTGCAGACCTGAGAGACCAGGGCAGGATTCAACAGCTAGAGGTCTGGGTGACCTCCCCACCCCCAAATTCAAACCTTCTGCCAGAAAACCAGTGTAGTCTTCTGCTTGGTGGCTCTGCTAAGGAGATGTTGCCTCCCTCTGTGATGGCCCTGCAGGGCAAGGAGAGCTGGATGCAGCCAAGCTGGCCACGGGTGCAGCCAGTGTAGGCAGACAGGGGCTGGCAGGGAGGGGAGTGTGGATGCTCGTGTTGACACTAATGAGCAAGAGCATCTGCTCAGGAGCAGGAGGAGAGCACAGACCGGGGTCTGAGCAGTGGCTGGCAGTGCAGATGTGTTGTTGCTCCTGTAAGCTCACCAGCAAGCCAGTCTGGGAGCAGGCTCAGGCACATGGGACAGCCAAGACCACCCTCCACTTCTGCCCACCCAAGCACCGCACAGGGACGTGGCACCCACCTGCAGTTCCACTTCTCCGGGGGCTCCGCGGTGAAGTACTGCAGGTCCCTGGGGAAATGGTACTGGTAGCGGCGGGAGACCACCCTGGTGTTGGCTTTCACGGACCAGAGGAGGCCGAAGAGGAGGAGGATGCCACCGATACCACAGCAGAAGAAGCTGACAGAGCGGAGCAGGGCGCTGGAGGAGGAGGAGCTGGGAACTGCCTCGGCTTCCCGGGGAGGCAGGAGGCGAGTCCCGCTGCCAGTCGATGAGCCGACCTCCCCATCACTCCACCAGGCAAAGCACAGCGTTCCCGTCACCAGCAGCACAGCTCCAGTGATGGTCAGGCCATAGCGGAAAGAGGCAGCTGCCATCCTTCAGAAGGAGGTTTTAGGAGGGAAGAAGAGCGAGACAAGGCATGAGAGAGCCCACGTCCTGCAAGACAAGAAGGGAGCAAAGTTTGAGCAGGACAAGGTCATGGAAGACCTCCCAGAGGAGACAATCACTGAGCTAGGACCTCTACAGGGAGTGCAGCCTCTTTAGCTACTTACTACTGACCATCAGAAAGGGCATTTCCACCACCTCAGATGGGAAGCCCTTGGGCAGAGCAAAGCCAGTGCGGTTTGAACAAATAAACTTCCCAACAGCCTCGTAAAAACATCCTCAATTTCAAGAAACAACACAGCACTCCCATAGAGGCTGGGTGGAAATTCCAGCCAGGGCAGCTCTGGGGGCTTTCATAGCTCTTGTCTTTGGGTTTTATTCCAGATTTCCTCCCAAGCTTGGCAGAACGCCAGCTGGGTTTCTGATCAAAGCACAGCTTATGGAAGAGGTTAGGGTCAGCTCCAGTGCACACCTTCTCAGATCCATCCCACACATGTTATCACAACCTTCACCCTCCCTATCAAGGTGGTTTCTCCCTGCTGGGTGGCCCTTCTCAGCTAAACGTCACATGCAGAGAGCAACCACGCTTCCCTGGTGCTGGAAAATTTGGGGAGGGAGACCTGGTTTCTGATCTCTGTGGGGCTCTCACTCCTCATTGCTTTTTCCAGCAACAGAGAGCATCTGCTCCCTGGGCTTGTGCATCCCCAGCTCCCAGCCAACCGACTGAGGCAGAGGCAGAGAGGTCCCACCAAATCCCCTCTGGCCCTGCTCAGTGCCCAGCAAGAAGATTCAGGTTCAGCTCCTATTTCTTGAAGGACAAAAAGCTTTGGACCATGTGGGAATTGAGCACCCAACACCCCCAGACAGATTCAGTCTTGAGTAACTCGTTTTTGAGGGTTTCTCATGGTGGCAGTGCCAGTGGAGAGCCTGCACAGCCAGGATGGAATTGGGGCTCAAGCACAGAGGTGGATGGACAGATGGATGATCTACACTCGGTTGTCACCTCTGCACTCGTCACTTTGCCTGTGTGTCAGTAACATGAAGATAATGTGGTGGCTTTGGTCTCCATTCCTCCAGGCAGGGCTCACCTCCAAGAGTGGGGACTTAAATTGTACTCTGAGGTCTGGAAGTGCTGAGCCAGAGCTAGGCAGGGAGCAAAAGTCCAGCATGGACTTGATGTGATCAAGGTCAGGTGGAATCATATTATTTGAAGCCATTATTTATCAGATGGGCCCACTAAATGGAAAGTCAAATTACTTTGTAGTGAAAGAAACACTATCTGATCTAATCTATGTTTAATGAAGGAATTGGATGAGAAGTGGGATTTGGGAAGCCTGCAGGAAAGCAGCACACTCCAGCTCTTGTCCCAGGGTCATGAGCCCAAATTGTCACTCAGGCAGCTGCAGTCACCTACTGGGAATGAGGTCACGTACCTGGGGTGGGAGAAGACAGAGCTTCCACCCATAACAGGGGGACATGTTAGGATGCTCCCTCCTGAATGGCAGGGGATTGGCTGAGCTGAGACAGAGCAGGAACTGTTGGAGATGGTATTAGATGCTACTAGGGATCAGCATCTCCACTCCATGACTAAGCACAAGCAGGACACAACAGAACTAGACTCATGTTGCCTTGCAGCAGGAGATGCTCAGGGGAGTGCAAGGACACTACTGACCCATGAATGCAGCTCCTTTGGAGAGCAACAAATTTTCATGGAAAAATTTCAGCCAATATTATTTAAGGAAAAAAAAATGACCCAAAAAACCCTACAGCAAAGCTTTCAATCCAACTGCTTGGAAATGTCAGGTCACTCCAAACTGAAAGCCTGGATTGAACCAGCACCAAGAATTGAAACATTCAACTTCTGCAACTCTTCTCATTTTGGGGTCAGACTGGTGAGGTTTGGGAGATGCTGTGAGTTCCCTGGTGAGGTTTGTGATTCCCCTGCCTGGGCACGGGGAATTTTGCAGCCTGCAGCACTGTGCACATCTGGGAGCGCTGGCAGCAAGGGGGAGGCGGAGGGAAGGCGGAGAGCCTCTGGGAGGTGATGGATTGACAGCTCAAGAGAATAAACTCTTCTCTCTTGACAAAACCAGCACAGCTCGGGGAGCAGCGCTGAAAGCTCCTCCAAACTACCCACATGTGCTCCCGCAGCACGTGTGCGGGGGCAGCTCAGCCGAGCTGGGTGGCACTGCCATCACTGGGTGACATTGCCGCTGTGCCGTCCCCTTGCCAAACCCCTTCTTGTGTTTCCACAGCTCTCCTGAGCCTCTCTAAAAGACCCACAATGTTTTCTCAGCACATCAGCCTCTGGAAGAAGAGTCTGAAGGAGCAAGGCCAGGGCAGGACCTGAGTCCCTGATCCTCGAGTCTCTTCTGGCTCCACTCCCGGAGCACTCAGCATCCCGCACAGCACCTCTCCTGGTGAGCATTCCCAGTACACTTTCACAGAGGGGCTGTCCCTCCAAGGAGGCAACTGTTGGCTCCCCAACACCGGTCTCCACCCGCCGAGCCACCCTGACATTTTGTTCTGCTGTCTCCTCCTTTGACCTGCTCTGAAATAGTTTTCCGGGGAATAGATTTGCACGTTGCATGTACAAACAGATATGAATGTTGATAGTTTACATAGTTCCACTGAGATGCTGAGAATAGCAGCCCCCATATAAAGTTATGCAGATGGTGATTCATGAGGTCTACTAAGCATTACTCAGAAAAACGCTCTTTTCTAGCAACATAAGAAAAGAAAAGAGTTTTGAACCTCTCCCACTGCTATCAAGTAGAAATCCACCTCCAGACCCATCCCTCCATGGCACTTACGGACTGTCCTTCCACGCGGGGCTGGAGAGCTTTAGTCGCAGATGGAGCGCCGGGAAGAGATGCGCCAGAGAGTGAGCATGTCATTAGGGAGATCCCTTCCTGCCTCTATCCAAATTTGCTTTTTTTTTTTGTTATTGCTGTTAGTGAGGGTTTGGTCTCCATCCAAAGCAAAGTAACAGTGACGCTTTGGAAGAGCATCCGAGACATCTGGTGCACTCAGCCTCCCGAGGCAGGTTCGGACAGAGGGAAGCACATGCCTCCCCCCCCGTCCTGTGTCCCCTGCCAGGCTTTGGGGCGAAGCCTGAGCATCGTTCACCTCTAAGGTGGCCGATCCCGGCGGTACCCCCAGGGCTCTCTTCCCGCCGCGGCCGGTGCCCGCACCTCCTCTCCCCTGCGGCACAGCGCCCAGCCGGGGGTGCCGCGTCCCCCCAAGCCCCCCGCCCCGTGCCGTACTCACCGCCGCGCCAGCCCCGCTCCGGCCGAGCGGCGGCTCCGCCGAGCGCGGCCCGCGGGGCGGGCGGGGCCGGGGGCGGGCGGGGGGCGGTGGCGGCTCGGGGCGGGCAGGGACCGGCGCTCCCTCTCGGCACGGCACGGCCCGGAGGGGCGGGCAGTCCCGGCTCCCCTCAGCGCCGTCCCGCTCCCGTCCCGTCCTATCCCATCCTATCCCTTCCTATCCCGTCCCGTCCCGTCCCGTCGGTGTGCGTCAGGGCTTCCTCTGCGGCTGGGACATCGTCCTGCCCTGTGGAAGACACTGCCCCACGGGTGGGACATCACTGCCCTATGGGTGGGACACCCACGCTGCAGCACAGGAGGATCTCTGCCCCAAGCTTGCTTTGTGACCGCTTTAGTTCTCCTCACCTCTCTGTCAAACGCCAGTATTGTCCCTTTCCCCCGTGGAATGGTTTGGGTTGGGCGGGACCTTTAAAGGCCATCTAGTTCAACGTCCCTGCAATCACCAGAGATTCTTTCAACTAAGTCAGGCTGCTCAGAGCCCTATCCCACTTGGCCTTGAATTTTTCAGGGATGGGGCATCCATCACCTTTTTGGGCAACCTGTGCCAGTGTGTCACCAACTTCACTGTAAAGAAATCTCTTCTTTATATCTAATCTAAATAAACCCTCTTTCGTTTAAAACCATTACCCTGCAGCACTCATGAGAACACCTGGATATTAAACAAGCTGAGGGTGCTCTGATCTGAGTTTCAGGATGGTTGGTATGATGGCATCTGGTTTCACACACAATTCCTCATCACAGAGCTGGAGGGAGATTTGATCAAGAGCTGCCATGCCATGCTGTGCAATGAATGTGCATCTCACAGATCCATCACGCTGCTCTTGGGCTGCAGCTGAGCACTGCTGACAGGCAAAGCCATTTCTATGGATACCCTTGGCTGCTTGTAGCTCCTCACCTCACTGGCTCAAAACCAGCTCAGGGTTTACCCACACAGGCTGCAGGGACTGGTGCAAAGCCCTATTGTGGAATTCATATCAGCTTCATACATGCTTAGAAGCCATTCAACCCAGCTGAGAAAATGTGGCTGTACAGCCCCATTTACCTGAAGACACTGTGGAGTTATACAAATGGTAAACTGAGGCACGAGGAGGGCTGGTTCACACGGGGCTGGTCCTGCAGCAGGTTGGGTCTCCATCACAGAGGAACACGGGGCAGGGACCCCCAAGGTCAGCACCCCAGTGTGGCCTCAGCCCTCGGGCTGGATGCAGCAAGGTTCTCGAGCCTCATAGTGCAATCCCTGACAGTAAATCCTAGATGTCCTCCAAATACCATGGTTTTTTGCTCCTTGACAGGATGGAGTTTGGCCCCAGGATCCCAAAAATTAATATCTTGGTTTTTCTGTTGCAGACATGTCATTGCTGAGAGCTCACATCACCATTCACGAATGACGTGGGCACTGTGAATCACCAGTTCCCCTGCTGAAGGACAATGAGGCACCTTCTTCTGCTCATTACCTGCTCAGATATTATATTTAACTGAAATTTGATTGTCAAAAAGCTTCTGAAGCACTTCAAGGTGCTGTTTGTGCACAACTGTTCTATTCCCAGCACAGGGCTGCAGAGAAGAAGGTGGCTCTCTGCAAACACGCTGGTCCTACAGCCCCACAACCATCTGCAACCTTCTGCCTTCCCCAGAGATCTGGCTTACAGGCAGCCACAAACCCACGACAAATATTTCACCACAAGGTAGAGGTTGGAAGTGCTGAGTGGCGCCAGCATGTCTGTCTGCTTAGCAACACCTTGGCCAAACTGCATTTTCCCTCTCCGAGAACTTTCCTGCTGGTGGACGAGGTGCTGCAAAACATCACAGGGCACAGTCAAAGGGCTTCTCCAGAATAAAGGCAGAATATCTAAGTGCAAAATATGTAAAACATCCCATGCACAGTGAAACCGCAGTGGGGAAAACAGGGAGATATAAAAGACAGTTACAGCCTCTGCAAGAACAGGAACAAAGGAGGAACAGGGAAAGAGATTGTTCCAGTAATTGCCTCCCCCAGGTAAGGATGCTGAGCTTGAGCAACACTGCTGGCACAAAAAAAAGTGCTGCTTTTTGATTCATTGTTCACCTAATTTTGCTGCTGCAGCAAATCGCATGTAAAATAGTGTATTTCAATGTATAATCAGGATAAATAAGTCAGATTCTTCAATACCTCTGTCTGTGTGTGTGTGTGTGTGTGTGTGTGTGCATGCACTGTCTGACCTGTCACTACAAGGTGGTTGATACCAAGAACACCGAGTCAAGAGTGAATTTGGATGCAACAAGTCCAAAGAAGAGGAGCTCAGAGTCCCTGCCAGAGCCCTTATACCTGGGACCTGGGTCAGGCTGAAGGTCTCCATCAGTGACCTGGTACACAGGCCACTCTCCTTGTGCCCAGCTGCCTCCAGCAAGCACCTCTCATCATGCCCCCTGTGACAGGGTCATTAAAGAGTCACTGATGAGGCTTTATGGGACATGCCTCTGCAGGTATAAGGTGCCCATGTTGTCCAGATCCAGAGAGAAGCCATTCCCAGGGACTAGCACATCTCATATTTCCCTTAGCACGGGCCATAGGGCACAGTGGGGAGCAGCAGTCATGCTGAATAGGGGCTGCAGCACATATAGCCATGAGGATGTGCAGATGGGAAGGAGTTCCTACACCCGGCACATGTAAAGCAAGGGAGAAAACTCCTGCTGTTTATCTTTGCCTTAATTTGCATCTTCTTAAAATGCCTAATTAGTTGTGCTATTTGATATACTGGCTCAGGCACTCCTACCTAATCCAGTCAGCAAATCTAGGCTTTGAACATATTTGTCCTGCATCTTCACATGATGCAATGTTCAGTAATGTCCTTTGGCTTGTTTGGGGTTGAACCTGCAACTGGCTATAGATGTCTCTTTGGTAGTTCTGCTATATGGACAGAAGGAGGGTTTGAGACTGTGCTCTCCAGCAGGAAAAGCTGAGAAGTTGGATGTGAAAGGGGATCATGCCTCTGACCACAAAGTGGTGTGGGGTTTTTTGGCTGATTCACCTAGAAGTACTCCTTCTCCATACAGCTATGCTTTTGCCCTGAGACTTTATCGACTGCAGAAACCCTTTTTGTATATAATATTTCTTCTTATTTAGTTTCAATGGTTTTTACTGGGTTTGAATTATAACAGAAGAACAACAGATGTATAAAGTGTCTTAATATCAGTTTCTGAAGTGTTTTTTGCACTAGCTATGTCCATTGTCTATCAAACCCCTGGACCCAAAACCTCTGGGTGTTTTAAAGCTTAAATATTTACTAACCTGACTGTAACAATATCCCAGCCAGCAGTCTGTAAATCTGCACTGTGATGAGGAACAGAACTGTGGTGGAAAGTCTTGGAAAGGGACTTGGAAAGTACCAGCAGCATCATCCACCAAGGGCTTTATGGACGAGCAATGTCCTCAAATTCCTTCTGTTCTTCATCCGGAACTTGTGTTAGTACAGGAGCACGAGGGTAAGGCGCCACCTCCTGTTGGGGTTGTTATGTAGATAAATGGGTATGATAAAGCTTTGGGTCTCCTGTAAAGGGAATTTCTGTGTTGCAAATGGGGACAGAAAGAGCTTCCTATGAGCTTTCCAACAAAACCTGCAAAGGATTTGAAATTCACCTAACAAGGGGTTAGGGAAGGAAGGAGTTAAATCCTGATGCCTTGGCTCAATCTTCAGTCAGACAAAATTTTTCCTGAACTCATAGAGATTTTTGCCTAAGGGAAGCCCCATGTCTGAACTTCTTTTTTAGAGAAGAGGCACCGGAGTTGTGCTAATGTGTATAACCCACCACCCAGCCTGTTTTACATGCTGCAGCTGCTGCAGCTCTGCTAGAGTGAGCTGCCATTTGGCTCGTGGTGAAGAAACATCCATTTCCAGCCCTGTAAGCTCCTCAGTCAAGCTTGATGTGAGTGAATCTATCACACCTGAGCAGAGAGACCTATGGAAGACCTGCAAACCTTGAAAAGCTTCTGCTGGAAGCATGACAGTCTGGGGAGACATACAAGGTATGGCTGAGAGGAAGGAGTGCCATGAATGAGCGTTTTAAGGTCGCTTAAAGAATCAACTGCAAAGGTATCAGCAAAAGCAGATTTATTATGAAAAAAGAAAGCACAACAAAGTTCATTGGCAAGGTTCACTCTACTACTTACTATATGGTTAAAGCACACCTAGAAAAAGCAAACAAATAATCCAGAGTCAGTCAACTCAAACCAAAATAAACCCAAAATTATCTATGTGGAAGCTGGACTGGGGGGCGAGGGAGAGACAAAAGGCTGGAAGAGGTAAGGATAAAAAGGAATACAGCCTAAAGGCCCAACATCACTTAACTTAAAGTTAATAGCACTTAATAGCATTTAACTTAACAGCATTTAAACTTAACAGCACTTAAATTTAACAGCATTTAACTTAACCAATAATCAAAGTTTAACAACTTAGCAAAGAATTCATATGGAATTTACTCTACCACAACAGTAACTTACTTACAAATCTAAAGTACTTAAGAATCTAGGAGAGCAGCATTCCTAGTACATTTGAAACAGCATATGCACATTTGCACGCATACAGACATGAAGAGTCTGTACAAGGTACCTGCGAAAAATTCCCCTCAAATTCAGTGAAATGGATGCCATTCACTTTGGATGCCGTTGCATCTTCTCAGTGGGCAAAGGGTTGAGCCTCAAGAAGTGTAGGGTAACAGCTCAGACTCTGTCGTTGTCATTTGGTGATCCGTGTATAGCAAAGTTGGGAATTTGCTGGCTCTGGGAGGCCCCACTCAGAAGGAGATGCTGGTCACAGCTGCTGAAGTCTAGGAGAGCTCAGAGGGTCTCACTTTGGACTGTTGT